TTTTATTTAGGGAAATTCACTAGTAAAGCCCATTACTGGGCATGGGATCTCCCTGATCCAGGGGGAGGCAGTGCCAGACTGGGGGGAAGGGCATTATAGTTTTTAAATAAAAAAATAACTTAAAAAATAGTTCAAAGGACTATGAGCAGCACTCACTTTGAGCATTGCTCATAGCTCCACTGTCAGTCTAAGGCCACTAACTTTTTTTTTTTTAAATTATAGAGGTTGGAGGCTGTGGCGAACCGCCTGGCACCCCGACTGGGTGCCTCCGCCACTTAAAGCTTCCTAGTGCTCACCGAGTACTCCAAGCACTTCACCAGACACCATCAGCACTGTAGACCCTCAGCTGCCCCAGCTTGGCTGGGGTCTCGCTGTCCTCCACCCACCCTGGACCCAAGTCAGGGATCCAACTTAAAGTGGGTAGACCTCTCCTACTCCAGAGAGTATAGCAGGATAGCTCTTGTAAGAGCTAGTGATTATAATCCAAGAGAGTATAATGAATATAGCAGTCCCCAGAGTGAATATAACTGTTCCCTCCACACATGAGACGAGGCTCTATGTTGAGGGTGAAGTGGAACTGATTAAAGTGAGACACATGCAGCCTTATATGCAACTCCCCATGCAAGGGGTTTCCGGATACATATTCCAGAGGCATTCCCCACTGGACCTGAGAGGAGACTACAGTAAAACATACACATAATTACAATAACTCTAAGGTCCAGGACAATCCCTCCCCTGTGCCTGAGAGATAATTGAGTCAGCAACTGTACTAAACTCAATTATCTCCAGGCACAGAAAACATCAATTTTAACAATATCTGGAAAGTACCCCTCAAACACATGGAAACCCCACAAACGTCACATCCCCTGATAGCCCCGATCTGGGGGACCAACATATCCAAAAATCACCCAGATCAGTTCAGGGGTTCAGGATTTCCATGGAAGTCATAATTTGACCAACCGCACATGAGGCTCCTGCCCAAAACAGTTCCATGAAATGGGGCTGGGCGGTCACTCTTTTTCGGGATTACAAAATACAGTAAAAGTACTGAACGTAGAGGTTTGTGGGTACGCTCAGTCTATGTCTCTCGTTCGGGAGCTTGCTCCCACCGAACACCTTTCAATTCCCACACGTTTTACCAAACTTCGATGGAAGTGGAAGTTCTAGCAGTGTCCGATTTGAGTTCCATACACTCGACGACCAAAAACAGCTCTATGTGTTCTTGACTAAAGATGGCCGCCGCCACGTGTTCAGCAATACGAACGACGACCACCAATTAAGTTGTGGTGAAGCATAAGTCAATGGGGTTAATGAGTTGCACACTCCACTTACGGCTGGTCCAACTGTTCGTGAGTTGGTTCGGTACCCGAACAGAATAAGTACAATCCATTCAGTACATCTCCTGTACTGAACTTGGTGATTAAAAAGGCATTAACAGAGCCTTTTAACAGTCCTGAACCAGGGGCCATAGTCCTGAGGCAGGAGGCTTGGCAGTGGGCCCCTCCAAGAACCACTGACGAGGTTCAGTTTATTACATTGGCAATGTTGGAAATACCGCGGCTGAGCAGGATCGTTCAGCCACAGTATTTAAAGGACTATGTGCAGCGCTCACTTTGAACACTGCACATATCTCATCTGCTAGCTGACAGAGCGGACCCCGATGTATCGAAAGATACTTGGGGCTCCTGGTACCATCCTGCTGATAATTTTACTGCATCACTACTACATCACTGGTCTACTGTCAATAAACTTTAAAGCCCTGTACTGAATGACGACATAGACCATCATGCGGTCCTTAAGTGGTTTTAAAGTATCAATTTTAAAACATTGTTTTAAAGTATAAATTGAAAAAATATATAACATTTCTAAATAATGTTAGATTTTATATTATGCCAGTGTGACACTAACATTGTTAATGTATAGAATGTAGACCCTATTAATGCAGAAATTTATATTCTCAATTGTAATCAATTTGTATAAACATGATAGTATTCTGTGATTTTTAATTTTATAACTGGAAAAATTAATATACAGTAACAAAATTACAACATCCCGAGTCCTTGGGAAATCCACATCTACAAATCTCTTATCTGCATGTTACTATACCCTAAAGCAAGCATGTCAAACTCAAAGGCCAACACGGGCCAAATATACACAAGGTTTAAGTTTATGTGGTCCCCAAAAAAACAAAAATGTTAGTTTTCATAGAAACATAGGTTTATTTAGAAAAGTACAATGTAAAAAAAGTTGCCTAACTGACACTGGATGTCCTCACGCTCATAAGGCTTCAAAGAAAACAAGAGAGCAAATTTACCAATGTTTAAGTCCAACTACCATGACATATTAGGAAACGTTTGGTAATAGGACTGAAATAGTGAATGTATTCATTTACACAGCTGTAAAAAAACAAATTACGTTATCTTGTTCACCCTTCAGCTTTTCCATGCAGACCCAATCTAATACACTGCACCCTCCCCCAATCTAATACATTGCCCCTAAATCCAATACGCTGCCCTGTCCCCTATTTTAATATACTGCCCACTAATCCAATACATTGCCCCAAATCCAATACACTGCCCCACCACCCAAATACACTGCTCCTTAATCTAATACACTGCACTCTAATACTGCCTCCCTCCCCCAAATTAATACACTGCCCACCCAATTTAGCACATTGCCTCCTTCCAACCACTCTAATACACTGCCTCCCTCACCCTTCCAACCACTCTAATACACTGCCTGCCTCTCCCACCACTTTAATACACTGCCCACTACCTCACCCAATTTAATAAACTGTCCCCTCCCTCCCCCAGATTAATACAATGCCCACCTCCCTCCCCCAAAATAATACACTGTCCCCTCCCTCCCTCAAATGAATACACTGCCCCCTCCCTAATGTAACACACTGCCCTCTCCCACCACCCTAATGCACTGCCCCCCTTTCACCACTCTAATACACTGCCACTTCCTTCCCCAATTTAATATGCTGCTCCCCTCCCTCCCCCAAATTAATACACTGCTCTTCCCCAATTTAACACACTGCACTCTCCCACCACTCTAATACACTGCCCCCTTCCCTCCATCCACCAAATGAATACACTGCCCTCCCCCCAATTGAACACCCTAATTGCGCCCTCTCCCACCACTTTAGTACACTGCCCACTACCTCATCCGATATAATACATTGCCTCCTTCCTCCCCCAAATTAATACACTGCTCCCTTACTTCCTCCCTCAAATTAATACACTGCCCTCCTCCCCAATTTAACACACTACACAGGAAAATCCCCCAAGCCCCTCTTCTCCTACCTTAAATAAGCTGTCCGTCCTCCAGTTCCAGCCCTGCTATGCTCAAGCAGGCCAGACGGTCCTCTGGCACTAACAGCAGGAGGGAAGGGGGAGTGGTTGGCCTGCACTGCAGACAGACAGCCACAGACAGCCATTCTGCCCTCTTGCGGCCGTGGGAGATAAGACAAGGATCAGACAGGAAAGATCTTTCCTGTTTGGCGGATGGTTGCTGCCACAGCACAAAGCGGCCCCAGGACATGGGCCACAGACATATTCACTGTGGGACGCGTGCAGTTTGACATGCTTGCCCTAAAGGCATAATCAAGACTAATAGACAATGACATCTTTATCATCTGCTAAACAGCCAGTAATGCTTCTGCAGTATAATAGACATGACCCTTCCCTAAATCTAAAAAAAAAAAAAAAAAAGAATCTTATTGATATACTTACTGTCTCATTAGTGCAATTTCTTGTTCATTTCCTGAAACCTCACATTTTTACAGTTTTGGTATTTTTATGCATTTGTTTATTGTTTAAAACATTTTACTACCTTATTTCATTTTCTGTTTGAATGTTGTTATTTTTTTTTTCCCCAGCAAACAAAGTGACAAAAATGTATAATTCAGAGACAATGAAAAATGTTTCCCTTTTTGACTTTTGTGGATTCAATTTTACTCTGTGTGCATCCAATGTGTTGGTGAATGCACAACCCACACCACAAAGCACTGTGTATGGAAATTCACAAACCACCATACAGGGGAATCCAAATACAACCACGCAAGGGAATCTAAAAACCACCATTCAGGGCAATGCACAAACCATAGTGCACGGAATACCACAAACTACCAGCAGTGCTACTGTATCAAACGTCCGTGTGTATGGGTTCTTAATACTTTGTATTTATTATATTTTGTTTTGCTAATTTTATTATATCACAGTTCTTATTTGGTTATTATGAGAACTGAATTGCTAGAGCCTATGAAGTGTAATGCATTTGTGTAACAGTTATAAAGTATAATTATATTAATTTGTTAAAAATCAATATGATCAAAGTTGATGAGTTTTGTGAACAAGATATACATTAAATGCATGTATATAGTTATACCATAAAACAAATCTATGTTATTATGGTAAGAGTCTTTAAACTTTAAATATTATTTAGATTTTTAAAAATTATTTTAAATGGTAGAATCTAAAGCATTTTTTTAGGATACCTCTGGCATTTTGAGATACTGCTTGATTGTTTTACAGTTTAAAGCAGAACACTTAAGGACACATGACATGTGTGACATGTCATGATTCCCTTTTATTCCAGAAGTTTGGTCCTTAAGGGGTTAAAGCTGTCCTATAATCTGATCTCACTGCTCCTGCAATTCAATAGATTATTTCTTAGCTAGTGTAATCCTCCAATGCCAGTTTGAGGCTGATTCTATTACCAAGGATATGACTGTTGCTCTTAAAGGCAATTTATTTATTGTAATGTACTGGAAAATGGCTGTTAAATAGTCTTTGGAAAAAGAAAAGTAATTTCTGTAAATATTTTTACAATAAGAAACATATACCAAAGGAAATATCCTAGATGAGGCTTGATCAGCTGTAAACTGAGAGTGGAG